ACGGAACGTTGCAGCCTGTCTTCTCCCCTACCTGCTTCTCATTTCAGTGCCTCACCTGATCTCTGGGGCTCTGTGCTCAGGGAACTCATCATGGAAGTGTCTCAGAGCCTGCATGACGGCCGATGTGCACTCAACATAGGTGTAGTCGATCATGATGTCACCTGCCAGCAGGTGAAGGATATCAGTGCAATAGCCCCTCCACTGGGAAACCTCCGAGCCACACGTTGCCAGCCTCTCCCTTGGACCCAGGGCACACTTATCCCACAGAGGGACCTGGAGCAAAGCACCCAATGGGCACGGTAAGGCCAGTCCACTGTGTCCCTTCACAGCAGATAGGACGACCAGCCCCCACACAGCTCCCCTTACCAAACACCTCTGAGGGGTTCATCAGCTCCAGTAAGTGGCCTCCTCGCTTGGTTTCATATGTGGCAAAGCCTCCATCTGAGTTCCTCATGCTCAGCAACTGCCCAGACAAGCAGACAGAGGGGCTGGGACCAGGCAGCACCACCCCAGTCTGGCCCCAAGCCAGGTGTGAGGACCAAGTTAGACCCACAAGTCCAAGAGGTTGGCAGACAACCCAGGTCCAAAACCCCAGGCCCAATCTGGACCATCACATCCCATTACATCACATACGTAGCTCTGCATCACAGTATGTATGGTGTTGCCATACCAGGCCACAGGCCTTGTACTAGCTTAGTAATACCAGATCTAATAACTCATCAGGACTTGACTTCTTTTATTTCAGCTTGGTTTAGCTGCACACATTTCCCTTGGCCCTAATCTTGCAGCACTTACCACATTCACGGCATCGAAGAGGCGCTCAGCAGGGATGAGCTTGGCTATGAAGGGGCACTTCTGCAGCAGCATGACTGACTTCAGCCCCTCTGCTGTGCAGTCTGCCACAATCCAGCCACAGTCTCGGGTACTGAAGGGGAAGCCACCCTGGAAAGAGGTCAGGAGGGCTCAGCACGTTCCCCTGACCTGTTCTGTTCTTGTAAGGGGGGAGGTGCTGCCCCTCATTCCCATCCCCTCTGCCCAAATCCCTGCCCTGTTCATGCGTTCTTCAGACATCAGTTCCAGCCATCGTACCTTGTTCATATGGCGATAATATTTCTGGTAGTCGGGTGGGTTCTCTGGGATCTGCAGAAGAAAAGAAACAAGTGAGGGCAGGCTAGAGGTGCCTGGCTGCTGGACCATGGGTTGAAACCATCGCAGATGCAGAACCGTGTGGGACTGGGCACCGCCTGTCTTTTACTGAGGGAGGCAGTAAAGAGGTCAGCTCTGGAGCATGGAGTGCTGATAAGAAATCACATTTTGGCCTTGTTTCAGCAAGTGTTGCTGAAGACCCCTCTTTGGGTGCTTTCCTGCCAGGGAGCCATCTGCTTTCAATGCTCCCATTGGCAGCACCACGAGCAAGACCTATGGCTGCATCTGCACCAAGCTGCTGGTGATAATGATCCCCACCTTGAGCCACTGGCCTGGCCAGGAGGAGCTGAGCTCACAGTCACTAGCCAAGGAGTCTCCGTTTCCCAGAAGGGTGCCTCAAATGTGTGGGCACCAGAGAGGACAAAAGGCAAAGAAGCCTAAGCTCTGTTTTCCAGCCTCTCTTAGTCCAGGCAGCCAACCCAAACACCCCTGGGCCTGGCCAAGGTCCTCTCCAAGCTGCAAAGATGGCTCCCAGCAACAGGGAGCTGAAAACAGGAGTCTGTCCCCAGGACTTTGCTAGTCCAGCCCTTCAGAGGAACTCTTCAGAAGGCAACAGACGCATCCAACAGGGCTCTGAGAAGCAGCCAAGTCTGCACAGCCAGCATGTAAGAGACACCACCAAGTGGCCCCGCTCACCTGGGTGAACCGGAGGAACTCATAGGCATTTTGGAGGCAGGATGTGAATTCATGCATCTTCTGGGCTTCCGCCTAGAAACAGAGGTGCAGAGTCAGCAGTCAGCAAGGAGTTGTGACCACCAAATGTGTCCCTTAAGAAGACTGATGTGGTGGGACCTCGCTGACCTGTTGATCTAGGTGCTATTAATGCCTGGCCCTTCATATAGCCCTTGCTGTAGGTTTGCATTCATACTTTGTTTATTGTTTCCATTGCAAACCTCTACAGTGAGAACGAACCAACAGCTGTTGCTGGTATCACTGAGCGGTATCTGCACTATCGGGTTAGGGGTTTACCAGGGCAATCACACCACCTTCCAAAAAGCATGCCCACCACAGCTCTCTCTGCCCCAGTGCAGGAAAGCAGGAGACCTGCACACTGTCCCTGCCAAATGGCAATGCTCTGGGGCCAAGGGGGAAAGGCCAGGGTTTTCCCACAAGTCTGCAGCAACTGGGAAGTCTAACCTGACCTACTCAGCCAGCACTGTGGCCTCCTGCTTCAAAAGCAGCTGGCACAGATGGGCCGTAGCAGCTGTGCTGGGCACCCCGCCTACCACGGCTGAGGTGGGCTCTGAAAAGACATGTGTTTGCCTGGCTCAGTCATACGATGCGATGCCAGAAGAGACCTTTTTCCCAAGGCAGCATGTAGCACTGAGGGGTGGATTACCTCCAAGAAGGCTTGGATGGCAAAGGCAGTATCCCAGAGCTGGGATCCATTTGTGCCCTGGAAGAGAGAAAGTAGTGAGGGGCAGGTGCTGGCAGCAGCCTTAGCCAGCTTTGGGGTCTATGGGACGGCATATGTGTCCTGCATATCTGTCCCCCACTAGCTCCCTCCAGCCTGCATCTCAGTTTTGTGTCACCCAGCACCACAGCTGATGTGCTGGTATAGAGGGGACACATGCAGCAGCTCAGGGACAGTAAGGGAACAGAAAACGAGTCGGTTGCTTCAGCCTGCTCCGTGCACAGCCAAGGCAGGGGAGCTGGCTAGCAGTAAGAGCAGAGGGACACAACAGCTATGACAGGAGCACAGCTCAGTCCACATGCAGTTATCAGGGGCCAGTCTTTCTCCTCCCAGGACCCATGGGGATGAAGGGGATGGAGGCCTGGAGCTGCCCCCTCAGCTCACAGCCACAGAGAGGCAAACCTGCAGGACAGACACTACTCACTCCTGGCACAGCCAGGGGAAGTGCCAGTGAGACAGACAAGGCCACTGGTACCAAAGGAGAGATGCCAGGAGCTCAGGCCCAGGGTAAACAAACTGTCCCATTATTCCATGGGCTGCCCCAGCACACCAGGGTCCCTCTTAGTCACAGGTGAACTCCTACAGCACTGCACCTGCATCTTCATGCCGTCGACGCCCAGCCTGAGGAAGGAGAGAGCACAGTGCTGCAGTGCAGGCACAGCGAGAGGGACAGGAAACGGGACAGGAGCCACGGTGTGCTCACTCCACAGGGATCAGAGCCCTACGCTGTGCCAGGTGGGCCATGCTCAGCCCTTACCAGAGATAGTCAGGGATCCTGGAAACATGCTCCTGGAAAGCCGGGGAGTTCTTCCCATCCATGAACCAGCGAACCAGCATGTTTATTGTCTTTGAAATCTGCCGAGAGCAGCACTGTCACTGCTTTGGATACAGCTTCTTCCAGCCCCAGAGACATAGATGCCTCCCAGCCAGCACAAAGCCATCTAGAGGTAGTCCCAGGCTTGCTCCCAACAGCTCCATCTGCTGCATCACTCAGCATAGCTAAATTAGTGGGGCAGGTGCCATGGGATTACTCCAGAGCTTCCCCTCAGATCATTTTCCTGGACCATAAGCAGAGGTATCCCTCACCAGGGCCACAGCTGTCCCATGCCCTCTGCATCTTCTGTGCCCGGTTAGCATTAAGCTCTTGAGCATTAGGAGCAGCAGTTGGGCCTGAGCGAGATGTGCGATTATGGTTACATGCCACAACTGTAAAGGGCTGGGGGGCCACAAGCTGGTCGCTAAAAAGCAAAGGGAAAGATTTTTGAAGGATCAACAGTAAGTGTCCTACCGGGCCAATGCTGATGCACTTGGTGAATCTGTCATCAGCTTTGATGTGGTCGTACAGCTCTGTGATGGCTCGCTGCCGCAGGTGAGTGCTGTGGTAGGCTTCGTACAGATTCATGATGGCTACAGGAGAAGAAAGGACCATGCAATGAAAACCCCACCTCCCTGCAGCCAGATTCACTTGCTGTGGCAGCCTCTACCACTCCTCACATGACGACCAGTTGAGGAAAGCATGGGAACTGCCCGGCTCCAGAGTGGCCTGAGGACTGGGGCACAAGGCCCTGGTGCTCTCAAGGAGGGAGAAGCCAAAGGATCACATAATCCATGTCTCCATCCCAGCTCCAGGGCATACACCGGTAGCTGGCAAGAGATCCTAAAGAGCCCCCATGGTACAAGGCAGCTTCACTTCCACCATCACCGGCTCACAGGGCAAAGGCCCTCCCACTCCAGCCAACACCGCACTCACCATAGGCAACCCCCAGCAGCCAGCCGTGCGGGGTGTACACATCACAGGCAGCCACGTTGTTCCTCTGGGCTGGCCAGTCTATGCTGGTGTAGTCTTGCACATACAGCTCCTGGCACAAGACAACAAAGGGCATCAGCCTGGCAAGCTGAGAGCAAACACCCAGAGGCAGCTTACTGCTGGAAGCTGGCTCCACTGCCTGGACAGAGAGAGACTGTGTGGGTATGAGATAAGGACACCAGGGTCAGCTCCTTACCTGCCGCAAGCTCCGTATGAGCTCATCCTCTTCTGCTGATAGACGCTTGGCATAACAGTAGCTCATGGGAAGGTAAACCTGGCGGCAGTGACACCAGAGCTGGGATGGGTGGGCTGGGAACCACGTAGGAAGCAGCCTGTTTGCAACAAAGAAGGTGCTACTGTGAGGAACAAGGAGGGCCAAGGGCAGCACAGAGATGACATGCTGACAGGGGGATGCCCAGAGCAGGGCATGCCTTTCCTTATCCCTTGTACCAGGCCTGCTGCTGCTGGTACAGCTGCAGAAGAAAAGGGAACATCCACACAGCCTGGCCCTGCTCAGATCCTCCCCACCAGGGCTACTCCCTCCCCACCAGTGCCAGCACGCAGTGCTCTTGGCCCAGCTGACACAGGGCAGGGAGGACCTCGAGCTCAAAGAGGAGGGAGGGGAGAAATCAGTTCAGGGGTGCCTTTCCTCCTCACCTGACTTTGAAGGCAGAGGCTCAGGCTGATGGTTAAGTCCATCTGATCATGAAGCACCAGCAGCTCTTAGTACTGTGCAGCCCCTGATTTCCCTCAGGGAAAATGTCATACACTTTCCCTCTCTGACACACAGAGGCCCTCTGAGCAATTGGAGAGGGTCTGAGTGAGGGTTAGAGCCGACAGCCTTACATGTGGCTGTCCTGTCCTGCTAGGGCCCAGTTCAGGCTGGCCACAAGAGCAGAAGAGACTGGTGGCAGGCAGGGAGTGCATGGATGTATCTGGGACCCTGTGGGTAAAGCTAACAGGGCTGAGCTGTGGCACCTCCCTTCAGTGCAGTGTTCAGTGCTATTCACCCACTGTCTGGCCTTGCTGCTGGTCTCCCAGCTGACAAGCAGCCTGAGCACCCCCAGTTCCAGGCCATAGCTGGAGTTATCCCAGCAAACACCAGCGCCTGGGACAGCTCTGGGTCGAGGCTTGTGGCAGGACCGACAACACCCCCTACCTCCACATGGAGGGCAGCACATACCACATCTCTGGGAGAAGCGTGTTCATTCCCTCCCAGCTGTAAACGTTCAAGACAGCCAGCCAAAACTTCCCCCAGGAAGGGATTCCCACAGCACCTCCTGCAGAGAATGACATCAGCTCTCAGGGTTAACGCAACCATGCCAGCTCCCTGCTTTCTTCCCCATTGCAGGGCCCAATTCCCACCACATTTTGGAGCATGCCACTCAGGCTGGGACACGTCCCAAAAACCAGCAAGCAGGCAATGGTACAAACACTTTCCCATCATTAACTGAAAAGGCAGGTGCCATCAAAAGCAAGCAAGAGCAACAGTTCCTTCACTACCTGGCAGCCCCCCATGTTCCACGCAGCCCTTGGATCCAGCCAGACCTCTCTCACCAGTGTACCAGCCCCACTGCTGCTGCGCTGGGCACAACGGAGCTGACCTTTGCTGTGAAGGTTGACACGGGCCCGCACAATGTCAGGGTCATCTGGTCCGAGCCCCAGAATCCTCAGGGCTACATAGTTGAGTGCTGTGCCAAACACTGTCGATTTGTCTTCCACATGCCTGTCACATGCATACACAAAGAAAGCATAGCCATTAGCCAGCTATTAGCATTAGCCAGACACAACACATTGCACAGAGCTGTCTTTGTTGGGGTGAAGTCGGATGCTAGGGGCGACTGTGGAAAAACGGAAACCCAGCTAACCCAGGGAGAAATGTTGCTCTGCACTACCTTGTCACACATGATGCTTTGGGATACAGCGCCACAGAACCTCAGTGACAAAAGGTCTACCTGGAGGGCTACACAAGCAAGTTCAACCACCCAGCAGTATCAGAGTCTCGCTCACCAAACCGGGCAGATTTGACAGCAGCTCTAAGTGCTGGACCTTGGCGATACCATCACTAAAAGAAGCATCTTTGCTACTCACAAGCCCCAGCCTCCGTCCGGGAGCTGCACAGAGCGCAGGTAGCGCACCATCTCTTTCCGAAAACCCTCTGGCAGCTGGATCTTGGTGGTGTGGCAAACAATGAGGAGACCTGCAAGACCAAGCATGCTGGCTTCTATACAAAGACAAAGGCAACACATCCACCCCTCCCAGGGAAGGTGCCCCGCGAGGCCTACCT